CACATGCTTGTCTTAGTCTATTTTGTGTTGCTAAAACAGAACACCACAGACTGCATCATTTATAATGAACAGAAATTTAGTTGGCTCATGACTCTGGAGGCTGGGAAGCCCCAGGGCATGGCACAGGCATCTGGCGAGGGTCTTTGTGCTCATCGTGCTGTGGCAGAAAGCAGGAGGGAAGGGAGGGAGACAGCGTGAGAGCAAGAGTGGGCCAAGCTTGCTTTAGCGAGGGCCCCACTCCTGTGACAACAGCTCTCTCCTGTGATGAAGGCGTCATTCCATTCACGAGGCCTTATGGCCTAGTCACCTCTTATTGGTCCCTCCTTTGAATGCCCTCATAATGGAATTGAATTCCAACACGAGTTTTGGAGGGGATGTTCAGTCCATAACACTGCTCCATTTTATTTTTTGCTTTTTTATTTCCATAAGTATTAATTTTTTTAACATCAAGTACACAAATGAATCATACCCCTCAGTTCATGGCATACAGCTGTCATCAGCAAACCACATAATCGACTTCTTTTGTTTTGTTTCATCCTATGATTGTTTTAGTGTGTCCTATTCCATCTTCCCTTCTGGCTCCCAGTCCTCTCTCCCCAGTAGGTGAACAGTCTGATGGTTTAATATCTATCCTTAGATTTATGCACTTTATTTATATAAGGTCAGGTTTTTGTATATGTGTGTGTATTTGGCTTACTTATACTATATTGCATCATAGGCCTGTGTTTTTACTCTTTGCATCACTAGTGTGTTCTAAAGGAAGACCGTATCTCCATTCCTGCATCCAGTTTCTATTTCTGAATGTCCCTCAATGAGATACTTTCTATATCTACCTGTTACTGTTTTCTCAGTAGGAAATTTGGTATAAATTACCTTGTCTACCATTACTGAAAATGTGTATCTGTTTTAATATTTGCTAGAATAAGTCACCTCTATTTGACTTTCTTTCCCAATGTTATCTCAGCTATTTTTGAACAATTGTTTTTCACATAGACTGTAAATCTGCTGGTTGAATTCTTTATAAAATAATTGCACAATTCTTAGGAATAATCTACTGGAATACAGATCAGCATTGTCTTTTCTGGAGTTATTTTTCCTCTCTGATTTTGCATTTTATTTATTTGTATTATGCATTTGTGTCAGAGGATTAGCTAGGTAATTATTTTCAAAGAAAAACTATTTTAAACATTTTATTATGCAAGTTTTAAAATGCATATAAAAATAGACTGAATAGTATGATGGACTCCATGTACATCAAGGTTTATCAAGTCATGGTGAATCATCTAAACACCAATCAACATCCAACATTTGATTATTTTGAAGCAAATAGTAGAAACCATGCAATTTTATTTATTAATATTCCAAAGAAACAAATGCTGATTTTGTTTACCTACAGTGCTTTAATTCTATATGTAGTCAACTTCTGCTCTTATGTTTCTTCTTTTCTCTTTAGGTTTTGTTATAGTCTTTTTTATAGTCTTTTTTATAGCTTCTCAAGTTGAACAATTAGCTCTTTTATTTTGATAATCTTTGTTTTCTGCTAGATGATAGAAATAACAATGATCAGCTCATGGTCAATCAAATCATCTACAGAAACATGGGTCATGTATTTCATTAGTGCATATGTTTGTGACAATAATATATTTTAGTTCTAACTCTCCTTTTGTTACTACATAATTTCCCTTGTCACTCACTATGATCTTATCTTAAATTATATTTTTCTAATCTTAAAAATTCTACACTGGTTTTCATTGGTTTCATATTTAAAAATATTTTTCTGTTATTGCTATAATATTTTTTCCCTTTGTACTAAGTTTGTTTCTTATAGCTATTTTTTAACTTAATCTATTGTCTGACTTAAAATAAAGGAATTTAATCCTTTTATATTTAATGTGGCTATTTTTTATGCTTCATTTCCTCTGTTCTAGTTCATGTGTTCTATTTACCATGTTTCCTACATCTTTTATTACTTCCCTTTGGCTAGATTGGATTTTCTTGTGCTGGTTTAGAAATTATACATTTTATTTTTATATATTAAGTGAATACCTTTAGATTATTAAAAACATATTCTTAGCTTCTTATACCTTTTTTAGGCTTATCAATTTCCATTATATATTTCTCCTAGGAATATTAGCTTAGCAGGACACACTCATGTCTTCCTCCTCCCCTGATATGGTTTGAATGTTTGTGTTCCCTCCAAAATTTGTGTTGAAACCGAATTCCCAATGCAACGGCTTTAAGAGATGGGGCTTTGGGGAGGTGATTAGGCCATGAGGACCATTCCCTAGTGGGTGGGATCAGTGCCTCACAGAAGGTCCTGAAGGGGTGCATTTGTCCTTCCATTCTTTCCACCGTGTGAGAACACAGCATTCAAGGCACCATCTTGAAAACAGAGACCAGGAACTGAAACTGCTGGTGCCTTGACCTCAAACTTTCCATCCCATGGAACTGTGAGAAAATAAATGTATGGTCTTTAAAAATTATCCAATCTCAGATATTTTGTTATAGCAGCATAAAGAGACTAAGACATCTCCCTACCCACGTATGTGTGTGAAACATACACATGCAAAGATGTATATATTGCGTATACACACATACATACTCTACATCCCATGATGTCCTATCGGTATGTTAAAGTTGATCATACTAGGAATATTTACATAGCAAAAATTGGTAAACATCACAAATGCATCATTTTCCTCCAGGCGCCATTCTTCCAACACTCCTCTAGCCTGCTTCTTACATATTTGCTAAGTTAGTGAGGACACAAAGATTTTATCTAAAGATGTTGAGGCCAGCTTTTTTTGTACAGGCCTATTACAAAGATTTGCTTTTCTGCAGGTAGGAGGGGAACAGTGTCTGGCTGTGCAGGTGGATGATGGCAGGTGCAGAGAGCTGCAGCAAGCCCCTGATCACAGGCTTGCAGAGCTGTGGAGGGTAGGACCCTGACATCTTACCAACGCTCACCCTAGGTCAGAAAGGAAGGGCGACTGCATGGTGCACCTGTGAGCACCGCTCTAAAGTAGCTCCATGGGTACCTGAGGGAGATCCCCCAAGTGAAGCAAGTGTTGCTGTCCTCTTCGGGTCTCAAACGGAGCTAGGCAGCAAAAATTCTTGCTTTTCATGCTTTTGTATTAACTGGTGATGATTCACATTCTTTTTAACCCAAATGTGTTGGGTTGAGTGAGTGAGTCTAAATTAAAATATTACCTACTGCCCACATCAGGATCTTCAGGAAATTCTACCTCTCCTGCTTTAAGGAAGTGTTGGTTAAAGATCTAAGTTCACATTAAGAGAAAAATGAAGAAAATCCCTGGGGTCTAGCAATGCTAATAGATTTCGTCTATTTTTATGCAATTCAATTCTGTCATTAAGTTCATGGTAAGATAAGGTGAATTCTTCCAGAACTTCCACCCAATGTGCGTGAAGTTGCTATGGAAAGAGAAACAGTTAATTAGTTTCCACAAATACTTGTACCTCACCTGGAATTATTTTGGTTGCAAGAAGATTTCAGGTCAATGCACTGAAAGTAAATGTATGCTTTGTTGATGCTTTGCATTTCAGAGAGTGATTTATTTTTCAGGGGTTATTAGAAATTCTTAGTAAAGGTCTTTATTTTTCTTTTTTCTTGTAAAACCTAAGGATTTTTTTTTTTTTTTATGAAAGGGGTAGAAATAAAAATGCAGTCCATCTTGGTAAAAGCAAGTAACCGAGAGAAGAGGTGACACTGGCAGCCTCCCACGCATTATTAATATTCTACAATCTAAAGAGTATGAAATCCCAACAATGTGAGTCAAATGCAGAAAAAAATGTTTCTTAAACCAAACTAAATAAAAACACTTGAGGTAGAGTTAATGAGTCTAAAGCCCCAGGCTTAATTCCCACAGTCCCATGGGTCAGCTCCGGAGTGATCAATGTATTTTATTCAATCTCACGTGGTACCTGGTCTTGTCTGGAAGACATGGGATAGATTAATTGACGAACTGATCAGCTGTCTAGCTGTTTTTCCTAATATTTTATTTAGAAACTAATATGTTTTCTGGCCATTGCACCATGTTCTTACTTTAAGTGTTATGAACTCTGACCCTGGATTCCAAGAAAATTTTCAGACTCAAGTCCCTCACTCTTTGCAACTGCAAAGGAATCGGCTCTAGCACTGCTGTACATCTTGCTTGGGCTTTTCCAAACCTTGACCTTGCTGGACACCGAACAATGGACGATACAGCCTAGACCCTTCTATAGGGACTAAAAAGTCTCAAAGATAGCTAAGAAAGCACAGTGAATTGATGGAAACTGTGTCTCTGGTTCAAAAATAAGTCACAATTGAAAGTTAGAGGAGAGAGAAGTTTCCATATCCATGTGTGTATATATATACATATTTCGCGATTTAAAAAGTACTTCCACTCTGCTGCTCACGTGCCTGCCTTGCCCTAAGCACATTACAAACGTTAAACCACTTCAATCCTCATAACAGTCTTATTGTGCGGGTACTATCAGAACCCCATTTTACAGAAAGCGGGGCTCCACGTCTGTACGCTGCATCACCAGCCCACTGCCCGCCCACAGCAGTCACAAGGTCATACTGACAACGGCGGCTGCTCCCGGGGAAGGACCCGTGGGGTTGGTCGCCAGGGAAAAAAGGAAATGTGCATTGCTGCACGTGTCCTCTTCCGGGTTCTGCAGAGAGACCCCGAGACTAGGGTTCCGGGGAGAGCGGGACTCTGCCAGGAATATCGCATTACTAAATATATATACACATGGATATGTAGACTTCTCTCCTCCAGCTTTCCGTTGTGACTTGTTTCTGAAAGGTGAGGACGGCAGAGGGTCTGGGGAGAGCCACGTGGCGCGGCGTCCCTCAAGTCCCAGGTGGGGCGATGCCGGCTCCCGCCGCTCAACCTCTACGGTCCAGGCTGGGTCCAGGATGCCCCGGAAGTACATTCCTGCACGCACGCTCCTGGAAGCACGCTCCCGGAAGTACATTCGGGGCACTTCCGGCTCCCGGGGCCGGAGTCTGAGCTCAGCTGCGGGGTGTATCTGCCGCTGTTGCCGAGCAGGTGGCCCGGTGGGCAGAAGCGGCAAAGGCGTCATGGGAGGCGACGGCACTGAGCACCGGTGGGTGACTTTTCGTGCTATTTGAACTATCCCACTGGGTTGTTTTTGTTTTTGAACAAAGTATTTATTGGCGCTTACTGCTTCCTGTGCGTTACTGAGAGCAGTTCTAGAAGGCAAAGGGAGCCCCCGAGAGCCTCGGCTGGAGAGGAAGCCGTGGGCAGGGGGACCTGGGGGTCCTGAGGACACGCAGTCACCTGCTGGCCACACCAGCAGTCTCTCCCCGCCCACGAATGCGACCGACCAGGGCAGAGGCTTCTGCTGCAGCTTGGAGCCTCCGCTCCGCAGAGGGAGGACGCTGCTTGGTGGGCAGGTGGAGAAGTAGGAGCAGTATGTCATTGCGGTCGTGGGGACACCTGGGTTCTGGGGAAGGACACGTGGACAGAGGGGTTACGTGAGACAGAGTTCTGGCCAGGCCTTGGGGGCCTGGGCTGCCCGGGGCAAGCACGTGCCCGCCCCACAGAGTTGGCCTCCTCCTATCTGAGGAATGTGGTCTGTGAATGAAGAACGGGGAGCAGGAGACAGGCCCGGCTGCGGAAGTGTCCACTGGGATGTACATGTCGAGTCACCCTCAGGGAAATTTAGTCCCAGAAGTCCCTGCCGCCTTCTTTCTCCCAACAGCACCAAAGCCTGGGGAATTCCTCCTGGAATCCTGCACTCCAGGGCTCAGGGGAAGAGAGCTGGGGAGGAGCAGGGGAGTCGCTAGCATCCCGGCAAATGTGATAGTGGAAAAGTAGAGCTCAAGAAACTCTGATGGGAGAGACTCCTCCTTGGTCTACGGAGCTCACATGAAGACAGGGAGTTGGTGACAGCAGTCTGGAAAGTGGTTTACAGGTGAGGATCAGGGACTGCAGTCTCCACAGGCACCGTGTTGCTAAGTGTCAAAGCACTAGGGCTCCCCTCCTGCATGCACATTCTCACCCCAAAGTGCTGTCCACGTGTCTGGCAGTGAGGGAGGAGGAGCCCTGCATCCCCCAAAGACTCCCCCAGTTCCTTTCAACTTCCTGGTTTCGTATCTGTTTTCCCAAGGCCACAAGAATAGGGAAATGAAAAGCCTTTTTTTTTAAAAAGAGAACAAGCAGAGGGCACTCATAGGCAGGATGGAAGAGGCACAGAAAGGAGGTGTTTCTTTTGAAAGCGGATATGCAAGCACCATTACAGAGCTAAGGCTTTTTAAAATGGACCAGATCAAACAGGCTTGTTTTCTAAGGAATCTGGGAATCCAAGGAGATAAAGGCTGCTGTCTCCTAGACAAGAACCTCCCACTGCCCCGTGCCTTTTCGCTGCACACCGGGGGCTCAGTTTACCAATCGAAACTGTATCTTAAAATCTGCCAAACTAATCAAGCATCATTTTCCTATGTAAATAAAACGGTGAAGATGAATTATTCAGGAGCCGGGCCAGAGCATTTTTATGCATTCATCATGTACACAGATGTGTAATACAGTGTGTCTCTCTCAAGATGTTTTCTAATATTTACGAAAACAATTCATAAAATTAAATCCCATTAGTTCTAGATTAGCACTTGACATTCATCAGACTAATGACTCTTATTGCTAGAGGGGAAACCCTAAGTTTCAATAACACTTAATAGCTTCTTCTGATCACTCCTCAGCAGAATTACCCCTACTTTTCCTCACAGGGATGGCTTTGTTCCTATAGAAGTACATTGTTATCTAGCTTGTAACTCAAACTTCCCATTTCCGGTGGAAACATCTTTTGTTCAGTTTTACGTGTTGAAGCAATCATGTCAGGCAAAGCTTCCTGGAAGGCATCGATACACGTAATCATGGCCACTTGCCAGCTGTTGAATTATTCCGCTTCCCCAGATCATCATCGGCCGTGAACACAGGAGGCAGGTGTTGTCGGTGCAGGTCTGATTACCTGGCTCAGTGGAGGAGAAGCCTGTGCTTTCGTGAGTGCGTCAGTGTGTCATCAGTGAGCACTTGGCTGGTGTCATAGCACCCACTCCAGATGATTCCTGAGGGCCTTTGTCACTGGCATAATTTAATTCCTCGTGCTCACTCTAGATTAAGTAGATGAGCCATATCGTTAAGAGGCTCGGGGCCTCTCATGCGATGCGTCATGAACACTGTAGGAGCAGCAGAGCTACGCGTGGGACTGTGCGAATTTTAGGGCAACTTCAAGACTTTTAAAGCATTTAAGGTCACCATATCTGGAACTGTGTTTTCATGACAAACAAATGCATCCTGGCCAGACCAGGTTCCTCCAAGCCTAGCCGATGGGGGTGTCTCCACCCAAGAACCTTTCCATGTCTGAAGCATTTTGGGTCCTTGAAATGTTATCAGCAGAGATTACTTTCTTTAAGTTACATATTTTTCTCTCTGTCACGTTTTGAAACATAGAATTCCGGAGATTGGCATGTTTGACTCTGGACATCCTTAGCGTGAATCTCGTGCGTGTCACCTGGCAGGTGCTGTTGTCGAGGGAGCAAATGCCTGTATCTCGCATGCTCTTTGCCGCCGGAGCGGGCTGAGGCCAGAGGAGCTGACCAGGTGACAGCATTCGAGGGCTCAGGGGAGAGGTCAGGGCTGCAGAGACCCTGGGGGCAGAGCAGGGCTGAGTCCAGGGGGTGTCGCTCACAGGGGAGGCGAGTGGAGGGTGGGGAGGCCTCAGGGACGTGGCTAGTGGACGGGGGCAGCCATGAAGTGCGGCTGGGAGGACTTTACCTAAGAGGGGGCGTGAGGTCTAGAGAGAGTGAGGAGCAGCAGGTGCGTGGGCACCACAGTAAGCGTGCTCTCCGAGGCCACGGCCTTGCAGGGGACGGGGAGGCAACATCTCGGGAGGTGACAGGCATACGGAACACGAGGAGGGTGGGAGCCAGTTCTGGGACAGAGTCACTGTGGGGTGCCTACGGGGAGGGTCCTTTGGAGTTCATACCTGTCTGGCGTCTGTGCTGCCTCGGTTGACCCCACTGGAGTTGTCTCCTTTGGGGCAAGAATGGCTGTGCCTTTGTAGCCCTTCCTCAGTCAGTCACTGATGTGACCACATCTGCAGGACATGGCCATGGTCAGCTGCTGGCCACACTGCAGCGGCTGGGCGGGAAGCCCCTCCTCTCGGGGACCTGGACGGTGTATCTGTGGGTCCAGTGCTCTGAGCCTTGCCCAGGGGTCAGAGGGCTCTCGGCTTGTTCAGTCACAAACCCTGCGGCTTTCTGCACCTTGTTCCCTCTTGGTGGACAGGGCCCTCGCCTGCTTCCTGTGTGCTTTTATCAACTCCCAGCAAACTGCACACCCCCAGGAGCAGGGCAGTGGCTCCCCTGCACGCCTGGTGTTTTCTGCAGTGCCGGTCACGTTGCTGGACGTGGGAGCCCACCCTGCAGGGCCGCGGGTTCTGTGGACAGGGGCCTGGGGGAGCCCCCGGAAGCGAGTATGGCTGCCAAGGAGCTTTCTGCCCACGGTATTCCCAGGGTGCCCTCCCGGGGTCCCGCTCTAAACTGAGCACTAAGATGGCTCTGACTTAGATGCTGTTCCTCAACAGAGTCTGGAAAAGGCTGACAACGAAGCCTTTCTGGAATGCTGTTTTTCTCCAGGGAGAGGAATCTTTGGGAGGCCAAAAAGAGAACATTTATGCAAAATCAGGGCTGAAAGGAAATTGAAGCTGGACGGGCCACCTCCGTTCCAAACTGTCTCTCTCAGCAGAACCGTTTCCGGGCACAGGCCCATCACCGTGGAGGGCCCTGGCAGGGGCTCAGGGCCTGCTGCTGAGATGCAGGGAAGGCCACCTCCTTGCCACTGAGCTCCACACCGTGCCACATGTTAACCGTCCCTCCAGCGCGATAAAGGCTCTGATGAAATATTTATTGGTTTTTAAGAGCGGCCCATCTGTTATGAAGCGGCGCCCTTTGCATGGTGTGTTTGCTAGTTGTGCTGTCGCATTCGTGGAGGCTGGCAGTCCCTACGCGCTCCAGGTCCTCTGCTTGGAGTGTCCTCCCCTTGCGGGCACCTTCGTTCTGTCCTTCTCATGTCAATCAGGTTTTGAAGAAATATTAAGCAAATTCCCCTATTGTGGGAAAAACGAACTTTTTGGGCAAATGAGCCTGGAGGTTTCCAGAGACCAGCGCTTCTCTGGGCTTCAGCATTCTTCCGAAACCGAGTTTCATCAGACTCTCGAGCCACGTTCATGCCTCGGGTCTGTGTGGACTGGTCTTCACCTTCATGCACGCACAAGTGCTCACAACTGTGTGCCTGTCTGATTAGGGTCCGTGCCACTGTGTCATCGCCACCCCTTTCTGTGATGTCCTCTGCATTGCAGGGGTGGGGCTACATTCTAGAAGGGCACCTAGAACCGCATTTCCTGAGCCCTGCTCCTCCGAATGGCTCTGGTTGGAACCCACCCAGGAGAGCCCTGAGTGAGGGTCAGCCACTTTTGCAAGCGGAGGTGCACGTCTGGCAGAGGACAGTGTCGAATAAGAGATCACTGAGAGTTTCCCTGAGAGCTCTGTGAACCGCCCACTGTGCTCTGGTGGGAGGCTGAGCCTGGGGCCCCCAGCCAGGGGAGCGGCATGTACCGTTTGCTCCTGCGTCCCTCCCTCCCGATGGCCACACAAGCCTCTCTGTGCTTGCAATACCTCGAACGACGCCCTTTCCTGGATCCAACTATGCTCACGTAACGAGACAGAACCCTGGTGCAAGAGCACAGGACCCTCCCAAGAAGGCATAGTGACCCCAGGGAGTGGTGAGGGGCACTGATGGGACCCGGGGGAGGAGGAGGCGAGAAGCCCCCTAAGCGGGCCCGAGTGGCCTGAGCAGCCGTGCCCTGGGCCTGGGGGCAGCAGCAAGGCCCTGGGTGGACTGAGCCCCACTTGGCTCCTGGGGGAGCACAAGGGAGCTAAAGCCGAACCTGGGGGAACCGCTGGACCTCAGGTGCTGTCCCGGGGCGTCAGGGAGCCCTGCTGCCATCCACTTCCTGCCTGGGAGGTTTCTGTGATCCACTGCAGAGACTGTAAAATATCGGTTGCAGTTTTGTTTATAGCAGTGTAAAAAAAAAAATTACACTTTTTTCCAAGATAGAGAAAATACAAAGAACCACAGCGAGTGCTTTGGAATGTCACGGTCTGTGATGCACCCCAGTCGTGGCCTCTGTCCCTACCCAGGCCACCCCTCCTCACCCGCCTGCGTGAACCCGCTGATTAATTTTGACACTTTTCACAACTTTCTTATCCATCTTCTGTGGCTTGCTCTTTGGGGTCATGGTTGGTTGTGGCTTCCTTCTTGGTAACTGTGAAAACTTGAAAATGATGTCAAAACAAAAGACTCTCTTAGTTTTCTCCTTGTCAGTGTTTAAGCCACTGATATGGGGACAGTTTATTGAGTCATTAATTACTATATTCTAGAAGCTCAGAGCAATTGACAGCCATCACCTCCTGTCCTGTGATTATTAGTGCCCCATTATCGCTGAGATGTAGACAAGTTCAGAAACTTAATGACACGACAGAGCCCTGAAGGCAGCACCTAGGTGAGCTCCAGGGCCCAGGCCCAGGTGTGGACCTTCAGCCCTCGGTCAGTCTCGCCCAGCTGCCCCTTGCTCTGCCTCCCTTTGTATCTCCTGTTTGCTCCATCTCTCTCTTTCCTCTCCCTTTATTCTGTTCTCTTCTTTTCCCCAGTGGGGGTCCGGCCCACAAACCAGAGATCACTGGGGGCTGCCCCACAGCATTGGTAGGACACGTGCTTTTCACACACTCTGCTGTGCCAGGAATGTGCCCACTTTGATGCCGAGATCAAAGTTGATCTGCCAGACTGACGGGAAATGCAGATATTTTGAGACGGAGGCTCCTTTTGATGAAGGGTCATGGCATTACTCCAGAGTCTTGTGTAGTCCAGACGATTGGGCAGTAGCCTCCCCAGCCCCACTCATGGATGCTTCTGGCCCATGATGGCAGGACCCTCACAGCACTCCTGCTTTGGAGTTGGACGTGGGTGCCAGAGTGAGCATCTGTCACCATGGCTGGAGGCCCAGACACCTGCTGGCACCTTCCAGAGCTCCCAGGGGACCCTCCCCCCTTTTAGTTCTGAGCCCCTTCCCTCCCAGAGCAAGGGTGTTCCTAAGACAGAAATCTTGCAAGCCCCCTGCTGTGGCTTGGCTGTGTCCCACAGAAGTTCATGTCCCCCGTGTAGACATACTGAGAAGTGGGACACTTAGGAAGAGATTGGGTCATGAGAGCTCTGTCCTCGTGAATAAATTAATCCAGTAATGGATCAATGGATTATCAAGGGAGTGGGTTAGTTATCATGGGAGCGAGTCTATTACAAAAGCCAGTTTGGCAGTTTCTCATGAGCCCTGAGTTACCTCGGGACTCTGCATAGAGCCCCCAGCAGCAAGAAGGCCCTCATCAGATGCGGTCCCTAGATCTTAGACTTCTGAACCTCCAGAACTGTGAGAAATACATTTTTGTCTTTAAAAAGCACCCAATCTCAGGTATTCATTTATAGCAACAGAAAATGGACTAAGACAAAATGGCACCAGAATGTGGGGCTGTTCCGTAACAGACACCTGGAGAGGAGGAAGCGGCTTCAGGACTGGGTGATGGGTCGAGGCTGGAAGATTCTGGAGGAGGCTGGAAAATGCCTGCTTTGCTGTAAATGGAGCAAAAAGGGTCTCTGGGGAGGGCTCAGAGGAAGAGTGAACGGGGGAGAACCTGGAACTTCTTAGGTCACTAAGTGGCCATGACCAGAATGCTGGTAGAAACATGAAGAGTAAAGGCCGTTCTGACAAGGTCTCAGACGGAAATGAGGAGTGAGGTTTTGGAAACTGGATTAAAGGCCGTCCTTCTTATAAATTAGCAAAGATTTTGGCTGAATTGTGTCCATGTTCTAGGACTTCCTGGAATGTAGAACTGGTGAGCAATTGGCTGGGACATCCAGCAGAAGAAATATCCAAGCAGTGAAATGTTCAATCTGCTGCATGGCTACTTTACAGTAAAATAAGGGAGAAATGAGATGCTTTAACGACAGAATTTATAATTAGAAAGGAAGCAGAGCTGTGTGCACTCATGCCTGTAATCCTAGCATTCTGGGATGCTGAGGTAGGAGAATGGCTTCAGGCCCTGAGTTCAAGACCAGCCTGAGAAAGAGAGAGAATCTGTCTCTGCAAAAAAAAAAAAAAAGTAGATAAATTAGCTGGGCATGGTGTTGCACACCTATAGTCAGAGCTACTTGGGAGGCTGAGGCAGGAGGATCACTTGAGCCCAGGAGTTTGAGGACTCAGTGAGTTATGATGACTCCACCACAATCCAGCTTGGGCAACAGAGTGAGACCCTGTCTCAATACGTACACACACAAATACAAAGGAAGCCAAGTGCAAAGATTTGGAAAACTCCCAGCCTGGCCAATGTAAGAGTGGAAAAGCGTGTCCAGTAGGAAAACCAAAGGTGTGGCCTGGTAACTGTTTGCACAGAGATTGATACAAATAGAAGGTATCACCTGAAGAATGATGAGGTTCATCCATTTAGAGAGGAGAGCATTATTTCTCACGGAAGGCTGCAGCCTGGGATCATAGCTTCTGGCTGGAAGCCAAGAGCAAGCACTTCAAGGGAGGGACAATGGGAACAGGAATTTATGCTGAGCAGGGTGGCCAAACCTGCATATTTAACAAGCTATAGGAAGAGTCATGAATACTTATAAAAGAAGAAACATGCACATATATAATTGAACTTCAGGTAACTTCATGGAGTCCATGTATGAAAAGTGGTGGCCTTAGCATGATCTGAGTATGGAGTGTTTGGCCCACTGACATCAAAAGGTGAGGCAAGGGACCCAGACTCCTCATTGTGCTTCCCCTGTAGACTGGCTAGTACCACTCTGGCTGGTGGAAGGAACGCTGGTCAGTTGTTCCCAAGGTTGGCTCCATGGGTCTGTAGGGAGGACAGCCTGGTGGCAGTTAATGAAGGAGGGAGTGTGATGAGGCGTGTCCCACCTCCATCTCATCATGGCTAGGAACTCAGTTTCAAGTTTTCTCTGGGGTCCCTCTGGCCATGAGGTGGTCCATTCAGTCTGTTGGGTGATTTTATTTTTATTTCTATAAGGGGTCATTAAGATGATAGGAGAAGGACTCCAGGGGCATGCCAGAGATCTCTGTGGCTGGTTCTCCCATCACAGGCCAGAGCACTGGGAGGGCAGAATGGTTTCCATGGATGGGCCTGGGGTGCCCTCCATGGGCTCCCTGCCCAGCTGCTTTGTGTCTCTGTTCCCACATTCTGGTGCAGGCTCCTCGGCTGCCCCAGTTGTGGCTGAAGCAACTCCAGGGTGGCTCCACCCATGGCTCCAGAAGGTATGAGCCATAATCCTTGGCAGTGTCAGTGTGGTGCCAGTTCTTTAGGCATGCAGCATGCATGGGCTGTGGAGGCGTGGCTTCCTCTGCCTGGCTCTCAAAGGATGGTTGGACTGCCAGGGCTCTGGTGGAAACCTGCTGCCAGGGCAGGGCCACTCCAGGGCACCCCTACTAGGGCAATGCCAGGCAGAGCTGTGGGCTCAGAGCTGCCCCAGAGTGTCTGCACTGGGGAGATTTCTATTAATAGCAGAGTCATTGGGGTGGGACGACTGCCAAGACCCAGAACCGTAGAGCTACCGCTGTGCAACACCAGCTTGGGAGAGCTGAAGCCTGGCCGAGGCCTTGGGGCCCAACCTCTACCCCAGCATGTCCAGCAGGCAGCGCATGGAGTGAAAGATCATTCTGGAGCCTTGAAACTTAATGTTTTCATGATTGTGTCTTGGGATTACTCGGGACCAGTCTCCACTTTGTTTGTTCCTACTTCTCCTTTTTAGAATGAGAATGTCTTTCTTACAGCTGTCTCACAATTGTATTCTGGAAGTAGATAACTTGTTTGATTTCAAGGCTCATACCTGGAAGGAATTTGCCTCAAGGAAAATCCTGCCTTCAGTGCCACCATACCTGATCTAAATGATACTTGAAGCTTTGGACTTGTGATTTGATGCTGGAACAAGGTAAGACTTTAGGCTATTGAGAGGGACTGAATGTATTTTATGTATGAGGACATGTGTTTGGGGGCCAGAGGTAGAATGCTGTGCTTTGAATAAGTCCCACCAAAGTTCATGTCTCCACTGTAGCAGTGTTGAGAGGAGGAACCTTTGGGAGGTGATTGGGTCAAGAGGGCTCTGCCTTCGTGAGTGAATTAATCCACTTATGGATGAATGGGTTAATGGGTTATGGAAAGAGTTGGACAGTTGCCATGGAAGCGGGCCTGTTATAAAATCTAATTTGGCCATCTCTCCTGAGTCCCCTCACCAAGCGAGCCCTGCGCCACCTCTGCACTCCACAGGGAGCCCCCACCAGCAAGAAGGCCCACACCAGTGGTGGCCCCTAGACCTTGGACTTCCCAGATTTCAGAACTGTAAGAGATAAATTCTTTTTCTTTATGAACCCCTCAGTCTCAGGTACCCATTTATAGCAACAGAAAATGGACCAAGACAACCTCCCCATCTTAAAAAGTACTTCAAGTACTTCCTCTGGGGAAACCTTTATTTCCCTTGCTATGAGCCTCCCAGGCATTCTGAGCCCCCTTGCCCAGGTAGGGTCCAGCGCAGTTCTCTCCAGTGGACTTAAGCTTTAGATGTGCCGTGAGCACGAGGCAGGGAGCACAGTGCTGGGTGGTGGACAACAGGGAGTGATAATGCCAGCAGGCAGCTGTGCTGTGGGCTTCGTTCTATTCCCTTTGCATGAATTTAGCTATTTTTTTTACCAGAAACACTACAGGGCATTATCTGTCATGCAGGGTGGGTTAACTAAATTACCAAATAGACTACAAAATGAGAAATGGCTCAAGGGCATTGGAAACTGGTTTCTGATTCAGCTAAGAGCCATGAGCTGGTGGCTGGCCATGCTGGCCATGCAGTCTCTCAGGGACCCAGGCTGAAGGAGGCTCTGCCTCCTTAGCACACGGGGTTCCCAAGGTCACCATGGGAATCCTCTCCTTTCCAGACAGCCAGGGAAGGGGAAGTGGCATGGCGGAGAGGCAGCCAGGTTTCTGTAGTCAGGCTGGGATGTGAGCCCAGGGCTTCTGCTGGGGTCTCACTGGCTACAGCTCAGTCACATGACCACACTGACTGCAAGGGCAGCTGGGAATGCTGTTACCATGGCGAAGCTCCTTCCCAGGGAGCATCCCATGCCAGGGAAGGAGCACCAGCAGGGGTCTCTGCCAATGTGAGATTGGCTCATTTTACAAAGCAGGGAACTGAGGCAGTGTGAGGTTAGGTTGCCCGAGCCATGCGGCTGTAAACAACAAGCACAGTGCCATGCGTGGGCCACTGCATAGGCTTTATGCACTTTAGGTCCTGTGTGGGAAATGTGCAATGGCCGGGGAGGCATGTGGCTTCTCACTGCTGGGCAGTAGCATGCACCAGGCAAGTTGGTCTCGGCTCTGCAGCCTCTGCACCCGGGGGCTGCTCTCCGAGGAAGGGGGCTGACAGACGCTGGGGAGTGGGAGCTGCTCCCTGGGCTTTCTGCCCCTGTGGTCCTGGGACTGGAGCAGGATGGAGTCTGAGTGCCCGGACACCTGGGCCGTCCAGGATGTGCAGTTGGTGCCTGAGGCGCTGTCCCCAGCTGTGCGTTCCTGGGGGCTCTGTGGGAACCACGTGGCCACCACCGGGTTAGCAGGAATATTCCAGCATCACGCGGGCTGGGTGGCATGCCATCCGGACTGGCCAGTGCTGACACAGTGGAAGGCCCACACAGGGGAAGGGCTTGGCTCAAACGAGGGCCATTCTCACGGAGGAGCTCTGTGCTTCCCCGGCCATGGGGCTTTGCTGTTGCCACCTCCCAGGTGGCACCTCAGGCTCTAGATCAGGCGTCCTCAAACTACGGCCCGCGGGCCACATGCGCCCGCCAAGGACAATTTATCCAGCCCGCTGGGTGTTTTTGCCGCCGCTGCCTGTCCTGCTTAGCAGCGGACTCGTCCCCGCCCACAGTGCGCATGTGTGGAATGTGCACCGCACTCTCCAACGGCCCTCCAGGGGTCTTGAGGAACAGTGAACTGGCCCCGTTTAAAAAGTTTGAGGACCCCTGCTCTAGATCCTTCCGTCTGCTCCCCTCTACGCGACCCTCCCCAGCTGACCCTGACTGCGGGTTCCTGGAAACCAGCCAGGGGGTCTGCTCCTCTCCCCACGGGCCTAGCAGTGGGCGGGGACGCGGAGTCCAGGTCAGGCCGGCGGGTGGACGGGTGCACGGCGGCCGGTGTTCTCTCAGATGTCCGGAAGCACAGCCGTGGCTCCCCGTGAGCCGGGAGACGTTGCCGCTGGCTACAGGCTGGTCAGAAACGCCCGGAACCATCGTGGAAGCCTAAATAACTCCTCTGAGAAAGACTTCCCCGGCCGGCCCCGCGAGCATCCTGTTGTTTAGCTGCAATGACAGCTGAACTGAGAAACGTGCTTCTCCAGAACGGGGACGCGCAGGCGGCTTCCCGGGGCTGCCGCAGAGACGACGCCCGCTGTTTTCAAACAGCGCCCCTTCAAACCCGCTGCTTCTGAAGGTGACGGCGAGTTCCGCGGGGACAAAGGACGGGGGCTGCCTTCCCACCCGGCCCAGACCCAGCCCCGGGGACCACCCGGCCCACCACGGATCGCTGCGGGCCTGGGACCTCACCCTTCCTTTGTCCACGCCTGTGTCCTCGCGAGTGCCCTGCTGGACGGCAGTGGGGCAGTGGAATTTGGCCTCCCTCGGAGGAGACGCCTCCCGCAGACCCCAGGAGGCCGCGCGGGGTGCTGACGCTTCGGGTCTGCCTTCCCGGGCTCGTGGCGGCAGCCAGTGAGCACTGGGACACTTCCGCTGTCTTTTTGACAAACGTCAGACACCACACTGACTGCAAGGGCAGCTGGGAATGCTGTTACCATGGCGAAGCTCCTTCCCAGGGAGCATCCCATGCCAGGGAAGGAGCACCAGCAGGGGTCTCTGCCAATGTGAGATTGGCTCATTTTACAAAGCAGGGAACTGAGGCAGCGTGAGGTTAGGTTGCCCGAGCCATGCGGCTGTAAACAACAAGCACAGTGCCATGCGTGGGCCACTGCATAGGCTTTATGCACTTTAGGTCCTGTGTGGGAAATGTGCAATGGCCGGGGAGGCATGTGGCTTCTCACTGCTGGGCAGTAGCATGCACCAGGCAAGTTGGTCTCGGCTCTGCAGCCTCTGCGCCCGGGGGCTGCTCTCCGAGGAAGGGGGCTGACAGACGCTGGGGAGTGGGAGCTGCTCCCTGGGCTTTCTGCCCCTGTGGTCCTGGGACTGGAGCGGGATGGAGTCTGAGTGCCCGGACACCTGGGCTGTCCAGGATGTGCAGTTGGTGCCTGAGGCGCTGTCCCCAGCTGTGCGTTCCTGGGGGCTCTGTGGGAACCACGTGGCCACCACCGGGTTAGCAGGAATATTCCAGCATCATGCGGGCTGGGTGGCATGCCATCCGGACTGGCCAGTGCTGACACAGTGGAAGGCCCACACAGGGGAAGGGCTTGGCTCAAACGAGGGCCATTCTCACGGAGGAGCTCTGTGCTTCCCCGGCCATGGGGCTTTGCTGTTGCCACCTCCCGGGTGGCACCTCAGGCTCTAGATCAGGCGTCCTCAAACTACAGCCCGCGGGCCACATGCGCCTGCCAAGGACAATTTATCCAGCCCGCCGGGTGTTTTTGCCTCCGCTGCCTGTCCTGCTTAGCAGCGGACTCGTCCCCGCCCACAGTGCGCATGTGTGGAATGTGCACCGCACTCTCCAACGGCCCTCCAGGGGCCTTGAGGAACAGTGAACTGGCCCCGTTTAAAAAGTTTGAGGACCCCTGCTCTAGATCCTTCCGTCTGCTCCCCTCTACACGACCCTCCCCAGCTGACCCTGACTGCGGGTTCCTGGAAACCAGCCAGGGGGTCTGCTCCTCTCCCCACAGGGCCTAGCAGTGGGCGGGGATGCGGTGTCCAGGTCAGGCCGGCGGGTGGACAGGTGCACGGCGGCCGGTGTTCTCTCAGATGTCCGGAAGCACAGCCGTGGCTCCCCGTGAGCCGGGAGACGTTGCCACTGGCTACAGGCTGGTCAGAAACGCCCCGGAACCATCGTGGAAGCCTAAATAACTCCTCTGAGAAAGACTTCCCTGGCCGGCCCCGTGAGCATCCTGTTGTTTAGCTGCAAACACAGCTGAACTGAGAAACGTGCTTCTCCAGAACGGGGACGGACGCGCAGGCGGCTTCCCTTCCCGGGGCTGCCGCAGAGACGACGCCCGCTGTTTTCAAACAGCGCCCTTTCAAAGCCGCTGCTTCTGACGGTGACGGCGAGTTCTGAGGGGACAAAGGACGGGGGCTGCCTTCCGACCTGGCCCAGCCCCAGCCCCAGGGACCACCCGGCCCGCCACGGACCGCTGCGGGCCTGGGACCTCACCCTTCCTTTGTCCACGCCCGTGTCCTCGCGAGTGCCCTGCTGGACGGCAGTGGGGCAGTGGAATTTGGCCTCCCTCGGAGGAGACGCCTCCCGCAGACCCGAGGAGGCCGCGCTGGGTGCTGATGCTTCGGGTCTGCCTTCCCGGGCCCGTGGCCGCAGCTGGCGAGCACTGGGACACTTCCGCTGTCTCTTTGACAAACGTCAGACCCCCAGGAAAGAGCTGATTTCCAAGTCAACTTATTTTAAGATCTTTAAATCAGCCAACACTTCATTCTCAAGCAGTGCGTACACAGGTTGCGGGAATCAGAGTCACCCCGCGTGCCTGTGGACCCGGCCTGCCACATACGTGTGGATGGGGCCTCTCTGCTGCGGGCCGCACGCCTGGGCTCTCCGGCCCCGGCGCCCGTGTGGGCGGCACCTGCGGCTTCGGCGTTCACGCCAGTGCCACGGCGCCGACTCCTGTAAGGATGACGCCAGCCAGCGTCTGTCTTCACAAACGAACGTTCCCTGAGCCGCGCCTGGGTGCGGGTGAAAGTGCGTGGACTGTGTCTGGACACACACAGGCGGGTTGGGGCCTCCCGTCCAGCCGGGCCTGTGACTTGCCAGATGGGAGCCGGGGGACCCCGACACAGACCCTGTGACAGAGGCCGTGGCCCTGAGAGGGGTGCTCCAGGACGAACCCCAGAGGTTGGGGGTTGTCGGGGAAAGGTGGCAAGCCTTCGGCACCAGGATGAGCAGAAGGAATCGTTGCCGGAGCCGGCATTAAAGGCTTATGACCCTGTGTAAATATGCTGGGTGTTAAAGTGATATTTCTTTAAAATGTCAAATTTGAGTAACTGATTTATAAATTAATAGGCAAGATACTTCTTGCCACTTTTTTGTTACATTGTCTTTGAATCTGTCACAGATAAGGCGGCTGTGACATGTTATCATTAGTGTTTATCCCAATTACTCACTCAGTTTATCGTATTCCCACCAAGTGGCCTGTGCTTCGTCGATTGCTTTGTATCAATTAACGGAACTACTAATGAATTAATCAGTCAATTAGCTAATTTATCAACCAAGCAGCCCATCAGTTAACTAACCCTGTCCAGTGTTTTCTCTTCCCTCCCCTTCCTGTCCGCCTTCCCTCTCTCCTTTCTTCTTTCCACCCCTCTCCGCCTTCCCTGCTTCCCTCTGAGACGTGCTTGCCTTGGCCAGGCTTTTGGCGGCTCCCCTGCGTCCTTCTCTGGACGGGGCCTCGGCCTTGGTCCGCACCCCTGCTGGGCAGGAGACCTGCTGTCCGTTCGGGGGCAGCCCCGTCCTGCCCCGCCCCGTCCGACTGGCCTCCCACCTCAGCGTGAGCCGCCCTGCCTCAGCGAGCAGCCTGCGTCCCGCAACCCGCCTCTGCTCTGGGCAGTCACCTGCTCTCGCTGTCTAGAGTGGAGCCGGTTCTACTCGGGGTCTCCCCCCCACCGCACACATTCCCGGATGTGTCTGTCTCTCTGTTGGAACTTCCGCCTGGCTCTCGTTTCCTTCCTCCGACATACATCACAGGGCGCCTGTCTGCTAAGCATGGGGCAGGCGGGCGCGCCAGCCCCCACCTCACTGGCGGGAGGGGCAGTTACACGGGTGGCCCAGTGCAATAAAGTGCAGGGATTCGAGGTGACGAGCGTGCGGTGGGAGGACAGGAGGGAGCGAGACAGCGCTGGCCACGCTGCAACGTCTACGTGCTTCCCACTCGCTCACGCTGACTCACGTCCAGTGTTTATTCTATGATCACACATGCCCCCCAGGCCACGCCATTGCATAGATAGGAGGAGGCCTGTCCTTGCACGAGCACAAGTGACAGCCCTGGGTCCCAGGCGTCCGGCAGTGAACGGATCCAGGACTGCAGGGAGGAGGAAGAGGTCCAGCTTTGAAAGTCAGACTGGGTAGGTCTGGGCGCATCTCTTCCTTCTACTCTGAAACCGTAGACAGGCCTCTGAAACTCCCTGAGCCTCAGTTTCCCTGCCGGGACACCCTGGTCCCCAAATGGTTATTTAAAGGGTGCCCACGGGGCAGCCTCCTCTCCCCCTGCCTGGGGCTCTGCTCCTCACTGGGGGTGTTGTCTTTAGAGTTTAGTCACATGCTTTATCTGGGAGGAACAGCGAGGAGTGGACGGCCTGCTAATGAGGTGACTGACGCTGTTTGTAGCCCGGCAAGGTTGAAAGCACCACAGCCTGGGCCTTGTCTCTGGGAAAGACAATCAGCGCACCTGAGAAACCAGTTTCCTCTCCGAGAGCACCTGACTCTCGATTGGGGTCAGAGCAATGAGAAGAGGAACCTGCTCTGGGCTCCATTCCAGAAACAGCCTGTCACGTGCCCGGCCCGGGGGCAGCCTGCGCCCCCCATGGCGTTTCTGTTTTAACCCCCCAGTGCCATCCTTCCACCTGGGGCTGGGGACACAGAAAGGAACGGGAATTCAGAAGTGACTGTACGTGGGAAATGGGTGCAGTGCCCCTGCCCTTCTGCCCACCCGAGTCCAGGCTGGAAGCCAGACGTCCCTCAGACAGAAGGGGAGCCGCCTTACCTGGGGGACTGCACCGTTCATTCATTCATTCATTCATTCATTCATTCAACAGGCTTTTTTTTTTTTTTTTGGAGACAGAGTATCACTTTGTTGCCCAGGCTAGAGTGAGTGCTGTGGCATCAGCCTAGCTCACAGCAACCTCAATCTCCTGGGCTCAAGCGATCCTCCTGCCTCAGCCTCCTGAGTAGCTGGGACTACAGGCATGTGCCACCATGCCTGGATAATTTTTTATATATATATTAGTTGGCCAATTAATCAATTAATTTCTTTTTTATTTGTAGTAGAGACAGGGTCTCGCTCTTGCTCAGGCTGGTTTTGAACTCCTGACCTCGAGCAATCCGCCCGCCTCGGCCTCCCAGATTGCTAGGATTACAGGCGTGAGCCACCACACCCGGCCCAACAGTCGGTTTTAAAAATTCTTTATTTTTATTTCATTTTTATAAGTGAGACTTTATTAGTGCGGTTTTAGATGTACAGAATCTTTGAACAGGTACTACACAGAGTTCCCTATACCCACCCTGCCCCACACACTGCCCTGCTGGTGGGCACATTCGCTACAGCAGATGCGACGGTGCAGATGCACTGTGGTTCCCCGAAGGCCACGGCTCACGCCAGGGGCACTCTCTGTGTCCTGCAGCTCTGTCCGTCTCTGTGTTCGCAGCACGCTCTGGGCACCAGGTGAGTGGCGCACCTCCCTGCTGGCAAGTCCTGGTGAGTCACTGTCACTCTGTCTTTCCTGTGTAAAATGGGATCACACCTGTAACTACCACGTTAAGGTCGTGTGAGGGCTGCCGAGAGAGGGGCTCCCACACAGTGCCGAGTACCCGGCACACAGGTGTGCAGAGCTGTCATCGTCACCTTTATCAAGAGCCCACCGTGTGCAGGTGATGCCACTTGTACAGGAGGCCATGTGGTAGCAGCAGTTCCTCCTCGGGGTCTGCGTTTTGTGTCCCAGCACCACATCCCTTCCTGGCTGTCGGTGTAAAAGAGAGCTCTGTGTTTTCCCCGGGAAGGCGGTCACAGATACGCATTCGCTTCCTGCGTATTTGCTGACACTGGAGATCGGAATAGCCGCGCAGTAGAAATCGATCGTGAAGTGCAACCCCGCAGAGCCCTCTGTTTCTTTTTTTGTTCTAACAAATTTCACTTTCTCCTGTAACCTTGAACTCTGCCGGTGCAGTAAGCCCTACACACGGTGGAACTGGACTCCCAGTGGCTTCCCAGGAGGCTCTGAGACCCAGAGCCTCAGGGAGGGAGCCGCTGGGCTGTGCACATCTCCCTAATGCCGGGGAAGAAATCCCTGTTTAAGGTGCAAACAGTTATTAAGCACAAGCTACAAATGGGGGCTATTACTACCTGCTGCCTCCCGAGCATCAGTGCAATCCGCTGCTAACTGCTGTCTCGCACCTGCTGGGCCGCGGCTCGCCGCCCGCCGACTACAATAGCGCTTCACATGAAAGGCGGGATTTTCCCGGCTAAATAACCATCTGAAGTGCACGGGAGGCTTAAACAGACACTTGAACACTTTATTCTCTGGGGCGGCCGACTCCACCACGGTGGTTTCTTTCTTTCTTTTTCATTGATCGTCGTCTTTTTTAGATGATACTTTCAAATGATGTTCTCCTGGAACACAATGGTTCCAGCCACATAATCCAGCTGTATCTGTGCTGCAGCTGCTGAGAAAAGCCAAGCGCCCACACAAAGGCACCCCCACGCGCACCTGCAGGTGGAGAGATGTGAGTGGGCTTGTGTTTTCACAGCAGCCGATATTTACACTTAGGGTTTTAAATAATCAGGGGCACTTTCCTGTCATGAGTGGCGCTCCCAGGCTGCGTCCAAGGCCTGTGCTACAGCCGTCTGCTCCCCGCCCGCCTTGGCCTCGCGCTTAAATGGGATTGCGCGTGAGCGCCTGGGACGGCCCCGACCCGTTTGTGGTCTGGGGACCCAGATGGTGTCCTTTCAGAGGACTTGACCTGCAGGTTGGGACCAAGGTCATACAAAGAATCTATTAGCAAGTGCAATTCAATCCCTGATGTCCCAGTTTCCTGCTAGATGGGGTTTTGAGGGGTCTAGTTTGTAGGTGGATTCTGCCCTCGTAGACACACAGCTGTGTGTGCAACTGTGCAAATGCATGTGCAAGCGTGTACATGCATGTGCACATGTGTGCAGAAGCCATTCCATTTATCTAGATGTTTGGGGTAAAGTCTTTTGCAAATCTAGCAAACAATAAACTCTTTAGCACACGGGAATTTTTAAATCAAACTTCCTTTGTGGAGTTTTTCTTAAAAATGGAAATGAGGGTGGTTCTTGTGTTTTCCTGTCCCCTCCGGCCTTGACTCTGGCGTTTTGTGTCCAGGCCTGGGCTGGGGACAGAGTCTGAACATGGCCGCATCCTGCCCTGCGTGTGCTGAGCACCTGCCTGGCAGCACGGAGGGAGGACGGTTCCGGGTCCTAATCAGTGGAGGAGGAACAGACGGCCTGGGAGCCTGAAGGCAGGGGTGGGGCGGGGGTGGGGGTGGGGTATGGGTGGGGTGGGGTGGGGGTGGGGTATGGGTGGGGTGGGGTGGGGGTGGGGTATAGGTGGGGTGGGGTGGGGGGCAGGAAGGGAGGTGCCAGCGGTGACTCCAGATGCCCCGCTCGGTCCCTCCCTGCACAGGAGCCTGAGGGTCCCAGCCACGGAGATGCCTCAGCAGCTTCACTTCGAAAACGACATTTCGAAGGGGCGACCTTCTTCCAGGGAGCTGCTGCAGTGATTGCACCGTGCGGATGACGAGGGGGCAGAGCACACATGAGCTCTGTGCAACCGCAGCCCCATTTCAGGGTGGAGAAGCCATCACTCGGCACACTCTAACATGCATGTGAATGTGTGGGTGATGTGTGCATGTGCATATGTACATGTGTTTGTGCTGAGTGTGCATGTATGTGGTGTTTGCAGATGTGTATGTGTGTGGTGTTTGCACATATGTATGTGTGCATGTGCATACGTACATGTGTGTTTGTGGTGTGTGTGTTGCAGGGGAGCAGTCATGGGTCCTGTCTCTAGTCTGAAAAATGACCCTGGCCCCTAGACCCCCGTCCTGCAGACCATTTCTTCCCATAGGAACAGGAAGAGCTTTCCCAGCTAATAATGCCAGAGATCCCATTCCTCTTAGAGGTCGTGGGTTACCGGGCAAGAGCTTGGGAACCAGCTCTGTTCATTGGCAACTGGGATTTTGGAGTAAATCCTTTTGAACTTCACATTCTTGTTATATAAAAACAATGACAGTAGTCGGGACCTAGATGTCAGGATCTGGGAGAGGACTTGGTGAGAAGACACTGAGTGGCGACTTTCTCACAGCAAGGACAGGGGGCTGCCATCCCTTTGCTCGTGGAAGGGCCCCCAGGCTGCAGAGAG